GAAGCTCTTGGTGGCACCATAAATTGGTTTTGTTTCTCATTGTCTTGATCAAGAGTATGTGAAGCTTTTGAGAATTGTGGTTGCCCTTCATTGATGAAGCTGTTGTTGGCACCATAATTTGGTTTTGCTTCACACTGTCTTGATCAACAGTGTGTGAAGCTTTTGAGAATTATGGTTCCCTCCATTGATGAAGCTCTTGTTAGTACCATAAATTGGTTTTGCTTCACACTGTCTTGATCAAGAGTGTGTGAAGCTTTCTACGAGTTGTAGTGTTTGCATTGTTACAAATGAGCAATGTCTGAAGCAAATGCAAGAGGGCTGAATAGCTTGATCTTCGTATGCCATGCACTGAAATTGTTGTTGGCTTGCAATAAGACTTTGTTGGTGACTATAACTCTTGTTGGGCATAAGTGCTCCCCTAGTTGAGTTGTAAAACTTGAGGGTTTTTTTATTATTTGTGAATGCTAGGAGTTCACATGTACAAGTTGTACCACTCGTTTTTTGGTTGGTGGAATGAATGATGAGTTGCTTTCATCATTTGGTTGGTGGTACGAAAGTTCCTTCATCACCTTTCATCATATTTTATCACCTGGTTGGTGGCACGAAGATGAGTTCCTTCTTCACCTGGTTGGTGGCATGAGTGGCAAGTTGCCAAATGATATTAGAGTACGGGATGTATATTTCATCACCTGGTTTGTGGCATGAAGAAGAGTACGGGTTGTACATTTCATCACCTGGTTGGTGGCATGAAGGAGAGTACGTGTTGTACATTTCATCATCTGGTTGGTGGCATGAAGATGAGTTTCTCCTTCACATTTCATCACCTGGTTGGTGAGAATAAGGGCAAGGTGTCGAGGCACAGTGTAGTAAGTGTTGAAAACACAAAGTATGTTGAACCCTTTCGAAGCACAGTTGGCTTATGTATGGATGTGTTTGAATCTATGATGTTTATGTATGAATGTGTTGGAATGTATGATGTTTATGTATAAATGTGTTGGAATGTATGATGTTTATGTTGATTGATATGAGTGATGCTTATGAATGTTTTGCTATACATGAAGGGATCCATGCTTTTGATATGTGAACCATGTTGGTTGTAACACTCAGTATCACATACTTTGTATCAAAGTACGCATGTTGAAGCTCTGAGTTGGAGTATAAGGATAGGTCAGCGTAGACCAAGTGTTCCAATGCTAGGAACGCAAAAGACTCAGAAGAAGTTGTCTGAATCCCCTCTTCTTTAAATATTTGCCGAATGGCTTGTGTGACAAAAGATCTCAAGTGGTTGAGAGTCAAAACATTTGTAATGTGTATGCCTTTTTATAATAGCATTTCCTTCAGTACCTAGTCCACCACTTTGAAAGAGTGAGGCTTGGCCCCATAGTCATAATAGTCAACGGTACGTTCACCCCTGGTTGTCTTGATACGAACTTTTATCCCTCTTGTTGTAATGGGCTTGCTAAGAGTAAAAATCCTTCCTCTTACCAAGAGACAGATACGTTTGGTGACTTAGCGAGTAGCTAAATGAGGCAGGAGATGATGCAATGGATGTTTAAATGGCCAATATCTCCTTACTTGGTAAAACTTGACTTCCACTTCCCACTTGTTGATAGGGGTTAACCATATGGGGGTTCCCTTGGTATGTCATTGCTTCGGCAGAGGCGTGGTTGTAAGCATGTGCCATCACCTCACAGTAAGTCTTCCAAGTGTTGGGATTGATCATGTACTCAAAGAAACAATCACGTAGGCTTGCCGTGAAGGCCTTGAGGGTGGTCTTGTCATCTGCCTCAACGCAGCGAGAATACTCATGGCTGAAGCGACCGGTATACTCTAGTAGTGACTCGTCCGACTTCTGGCGAATAGTGTACAAGTCATTTGCATAATGCAAGCGATCAGTCTGGAAGATGTGTTGAGAGACAAACAGTTTCCTCAGTTCCTCAAATGAGTCTACTGTCTCAGATGGAAGACGGCAATATCCGTTTAGAGCTCCGCCAGAGAGGGTGGAGGGGAAGAGAAGACATCGCTCTTCGTCGGTGTGCATCCGATATGCCATGGTGGACTCAAAGAGGTTAAAGTGTTCAATTGGGTCCTCCCTTTCAGTATAGAGTTGTAAACCAAGCTTTTGTTTTGTCTTCGCTTGAAGGGGGTGTCGATGATCCTTCTTGTGAGAGGGCCAGGCCTGGGTTGGTTCCAGTCAGGTATCTCGGCCTGACATTTGGCCTTCAACTTGTTTACTTCCTCAATGAGCTGTAGGACAATGAGGTCCTGAGTGGAGTCATGTACCATTGAAATTTTTTTTCGTAAGTCTTCATCGCTTCTTGGAAGTAGGAAAGTTTGAGCAAGGGCGTGTGGTTTTTTCTTGGACTCGCCGTACTGACTTCTAAGGCGAGTCTGTCGGAATACCTTAGAGTCCCCCGTACCTTCTTGTTCCTCTGGGACCTGTCGTTCCTTCCCTAGATTGGCAGCTGGCCTGGGTCGTGATAGGGGACCGAGTCTTTTAGAAACCCTTGGGTCATTGATCTTCGAGCATATGTGGAGGGGATTCTCTCGACGTTGTTTTAGGAAGTCTCGGCAGTCACGATAAACGGCTTTCGATCCTTCCAACCCTTCTGCAAAGAGGTGTCTTCCTCTACTTCTTCTGCTTCAGGTCGAAGCATGTGGGTTGAGAGAAGTCTCATGTTGATCAATGTTTTGATGATTTGTTTGCTCCTCATCATGGATACCCATGTCGAAGGGAGGTGACCCTCCGTGTTGGTGGGCACCCAGATAATGGTTGATGTTCACAGGGGCAACGAGCTCGCGTGTTTGAGTACGCCTAGTTTCGTGGAGCGTCTCAAAGAGTTTCTCATACTGCTCCTGGAGGACCTCATTCTTCATTGCTATCTTGTTGTTATGAGCTTCTAGCTCATCGACTTTAGCTTGAAGAACAACCCTCTTTCCTTCATTCTTTTGTTGCTTCGTACTAGGTGCAAGAGGGGTGTCGTTCTGTGTGCTATGGCTTCCTTCGCTCCCCATGTTGGAGAGGGATGCCTGGTCAAAATAGAGTGTACGAATGGTGGAAACCAGCTTGGCAAAGTTGAAGAAAGTGGGAATAAGTGTCATTCCCACAGACAGCGCCAAATGTTGATGCACAAAATCAGTGAGGACTTTGGTACAACAGAAAATGTTAAGTTTGTGACCTTTGCTAGATTGCTCCAGTCACTAGTGTGGATAAGTATGTAAATGAATAGAGACAGGGAAGCAAACACAAGATGTACGTGGTTCACCCATATTGGTTACGTCCACGGAGTAGAGGAGTTCTCATTAATTGTGAAGGGTTTACACAAGTACATAGGTTCAAGCTCTCTTTTTGTGAGTACTAGTGAATGATTTAGTACAAATGACATTAGGAAATATTGTGAGAGAATGATCTCTATTTATAGAAGAGAGTTTCTAGTTTCATTCTGACATTGACACGTGTCGTGTTGTGATTGGTTTCTGATGTTGACATGTGTCGCACTATGATTAACTTCTGATGTCGACACGTGACGCGCTATGATTGGCCTCCTGGTTGGAGGGAAACTCTTCTGGGTCCTTGACGGTATGACGTTGACCGGTGCTCAGTAGTTTTGGGATTGGTCAAGTATGGTACAAACATTAGGCATGTTTTTTTGTTGTTATATATATCTCTATATATAAAGTGAGAAGCTCAAATAAGTGAAACATTCAAAATGCCAAAAATATCCTCAGTCCCTACTCAAGAGTAACAGATAACTGTCCAATAAATATAGGGTCAAAATTGTAATATAATACAACAAAATTCTACTGTGCGAATAATATATGTACTCATCTGAACAATGACAATTTTCAACCACCAGATAAAAATATACACACTTAAAATTCATAGTGACCCTTAGATCAATCCTCCCACAAATACCGCCTCACATTCTATCTTTCCACCAAAACCAAAATAACAAGTAAATTAATAAAAATTTACAAACACTCCCTCCAAATTAGAGTAGAACTGTCAAACACGTTGTCACACAAAACAGAACACCGGTTGCAGCAGATGCAAAGATTGGAGATAGAACCGCCAATCTACCACATGTTCTAGAGGGAACAATGATCATTCCAACCCCAAATGCACATAAAAGAGGAAGAACTCACTTTCGTCTTACAAACTCTCTTTCGTCTTCTGCACAGACCTCTCATCCGCGTGTTTTTCCAGAGTTTCTTCTGCATCCACACTCAATTTACACAAACTCAGGTGATTTTTTTTTTCTTCATAATTTCTACGCTCCGATTAAGTTATATTACCCACATGAATCTGCTTTTTCGTTTGTTTTGTTTATTACTCTATATAATTTAATAAGGAAATTTGAATCATTCATGGCGTAGGATGGGATTGCTGGGCATTCAAAATTGCTCAGTGATTAGTACTTAATCGACCACACTGCTTATATTATTTAAACTTAATTGTTGTCATATGGGTTTTTTTTCTCAGGGTATGTTTTACTTCATTAATTTCTGCGATTTGCAATTTGCCATATGGATTTTTCTGGATTCCATTTCTTTTATTTATGTGATTTTAGTCAGTGGTAGTCAGCTGCATGCAATGAGAGACATTTGAGGCTGTAGCTGGGAATTTGGTTTCTCTAAAATTATATATATTCTAAACGCCTAACTTTCCAATTAATTCCCAATATGTCATTTCAGACTTAGATCACTGTTCCTTCGACAGTGTTCTTCTTTTTTTGACCTCACTTATTTGTGTATTATTACAACCTTGCCCTTTTGGCTTTGCTGTCAAATGCTTAACAGTTACGAACACGTGTACATCTACCAAAGGAACAAACTGAGATTTTGATAGAAATGAAATTATATTTAATAAAACAAAGGACTATGGAATGGTGTATCAGCACTTTGTGATAAATATAACAAATTAAAAAAAAAAAATTCTGCCTGAACAAGTGGCTCTTCAAGAGACTTCTTTCTATAGTAATGGTTCTGTCACCTGGCAGGCTTAGCATAGTGACGCGTGTTGAGCGGGACACGTGTCACTTTAATCATCTCCTCTTTCTCTGCTTTTGCTTCCGCCTTATCGTTGAAAACCAATGCATCTGTTGTCGGTTCAAATAAAATTTCAAGCCCAGAAAATGTATGGTTTTCTGGTCTCTGACCAATCTTGAGGAAATGGTATGCTATCGAATCTAATTGACGATTTTTTTGTATGATTGTTTGTTATTAAGATTGGGATTTGGAATCTTAGGGTTTTGGAATTAATTTGTTTGGTTTTTGTGCGGATGCAACTCGGCAACGACAAGTTGATCACATCCTGAGTTTTCCGACTGATTTATTCAATCCTATCGGTTCTGATTTTTTCCCTCCATAGTTTCTCCAGCACCATTTGCCTTGCTCTCATCACAGCTTCTTTCAGTTCCTCAGGTAAAGTTTCCACCTTTTTTTCTTCAGCAAAATAACAAAGAATTCCAAATTTATTGAACAGATTAGTGATTTTCTGTTGAGTTTTTTCTTCAAATTTTTAATTTAATTTTTTTTAATGGGAATAGGTGGAATGGTGAATGTGAGTTTCTTTTACAGTTTTTCAAGGGGAAGAGCTTCAGAGACAGTGGACTCTTCCGCTATTCCTCCCCAATCACTTTTACCAATACAGTGGACTTTTCCCCTATTCCCCTATTCCTCCCCCAATCACTTTTACCAATCTGCACAACCCAAATTGAGAGACGGTACTCTTCCCTGAGGTATGAAAAAACTTCGAATTAATTTGAGTTGTGCAGAGGAAGCGAATGATTATTTGAATTCATTAATTTCGCTTGGGTTGTGCATATTTCCTTTGAATTAATTTAGGTTGTGTTTGAGCATTGTACAAAGGAAAGAGAGTATGGGGATAAAGGAAAGAGAAGATGCTGTGATCATCCGGCTCCATCGATTTGTTAAGGCACTTTTCGTACCTTTTTTCTGTTTAAAATGATATGTTTTTCGTCTTTTGGAAGTATTTCATTGAGGATTTTCCATGAATTTCTGAGAATTCCATTTGATCCAAGCTATGGGCGTTGAAATGTTAGTACCTTTTTATTCAAATTTTTCTTTATTTGAATATTATGAGTTTAGAAGTGTAAATTTGCACAATTTAATTTTAGTAAATTTTTCATACACTAATTGAAACAAACCAAATTAATTCCCCATTGTGATTTAATATAATTGAATGTTAATCATTTGTCATGTTTTTGTAAAAAATTTCGTCTAAATTTCAGAGTTTTGGAAGATCCGTCATTAAACTTATGGGTTTTTTTGATATTTTTATCTGAGATTTAGTAGTTTTTTTTCTTCTAGATTTTGAAGAGTACTTCGATTAAATTTGTGAGTTTGGTAGTTGTATTTTTTTGTGCATTTTTGGTGAACTTGGTTGTGGGTTTTGATGTTTGTCTGCAGCAGGGAAAGGGAAGAAAATCGTTCCATGCCCTCCAGCAGTTCCAGACTCTCATTGTGCACGGCCACCTAGCGACCAAGTGGTCTTTCAGAACTTGCAGGAGATGATCGAAGCGAGATGGTATAGTTTTTTGTATTTTTTGCTATTGCTGTATGTAAATGACCAAATCGAATGCCTTTGAGCTCCTTACAAATTCACTTTCCTGACTTATTTTCCTTATGCAACTTTGTCCAACCATATTTTCTTTTATGGTTAAAGTTGGTGGCAGAATTCTTGAGGAGATCTTCCACGAGCAGTAAGCTTAACATTAAAGGATCATTGTTCTTCATTATCTTTATCAAGAGCATTACATCTTTAATGCGTGTGTACATTAAAGGATCATTCTTTTAATTTTCTCTTTTTTCTTCACTGAAACTCCGCCGTGTAAGTTTATCTTACATTGTCGGTCCCAAGCCCGGATAAAGGAGGAGGGGGAGGGCGTCAGGTAGTCGACAGCTGGCACTCCATGATTACGTCGAATCCTTATGAAAATGAATCCAGAACGAAATCGCGCTAAAGCTAGGGCGTCACCCGTAAGTGGCGTGCTGTGTGGCCCGAGCACAGTGATAAGTGAGCAAGGGTCGCTGTATCTCCATCGGCACCCGGATGCAGTGTTAAATGAGCAAGGGGGCTATAGAAACTTCTTTTCGAACGACTCCACTCAAAGTTGTTTGGGAGCATATGCTCCTATCAACTTTACACGGGACACACAAAAGAAGTACTTTGATCCTATTAGACGGGGGAGGGTGAAGAAGCTAGGACAGAAGGGTAGAGTTCAAGAGAGCAAAATGCGTTTAGGAACGTGGAATATAGGAACCTTGAACGGGAAAATCTATGGAAGTAGTAGAAGTTATGGTGAGGAGAAGGATAAATATTATGTGCCTACAAGAAACTAAGTGGGTTGGTCGTAAGGCAAAGGATCTAGAAAACTCAGGGTTTAAACTATTGGTATTCGGGCACAAATAGAACGAGAAACGGTGTTGGCATCATCGTGGACAAGACCTTGACACAAGATGTTGTAGATGTCAAGAGGGTAGGAGATAGAATCATGGCAATCAAGATTGTAATAGGACAAGAACTTATCAATGTGATTAGTGCGTACGCACCTCAAGTAGGGTTGGATACGAGTTCGAAGGAGAAATTTTGGGAAGACCTTGGAGACTTGGTGCAAGGAATTGCTCAGACGGAGAAGTTATTTATAGGAGGAGATTTAAATGGACACGTGGGCAGGGAGACAGGCAACTATGGAGGTTTTCATGGTGGCCATGGTTTTGGGGAGAGAAACGAGGATGGGGAAGCTATCTTGGATTTTGCAATGGCATATGATCTCTTCTTAGCCAACACCTTCTTTAAGAAGAGAGAAGAACATGTGATCACCTACAAGAGTGGGTCGTCAAAAACACAAATAGATTTTCTTCTAATGAGGAAAGGGGATCGTATAACTTGTAAGGATTGCAAAGTTATACCAGGAGAGAGCGTGGCTAATCAACATCGCTTGTTGGTGATGGATGTACATATCAAAAGAGTGAGAAAAAGAACAAGACTTGGAAGTGCCCAAGGACTAGATGGTGGAATCTAAAAGAAGAAAAACAAGCCATTTTCAAAGAGAAAGTAATCACCCAGTGTGTGTGGGATAGAGAGGGGGAAGCTAACCAAATGTGGGATTCCATGGCTAGTTGTATCCGAAAAGTAGCAAAAGAGGTATTAGGAGAGTCCAAGGGCTTTGCCCCACACCAAAAGGAATCTTGGTGGTGGAATGAGGAGGTACAAACAAAGGTGAAGGCTAAGAAGGAATGTTGTAAAGCCTTATACAAGGATAGGACCGATGAAAATGGTGAAAGGTATAGAAAAGCGAAGCAAGAGGCGAAGAAAGCTGTGAGAGAAGCTAAGTTAGCGGCTTATGACGATATGTATAAGCGACTAGATACCAAAGAAGGAGAGTTGGATATCTATAAACTAGCTAGAGCAAGGGAAAAGAAGACAAGGGACCTAAACCAAGTGAGGTGCATCAAGGATGAGGATGGAAAGGTTCTTGCTACAGAGAACGCGGTTAAAGACAGATGGAAAGGTTATTTTCATAATCTTTTCAATGAAGGACATGAAAGGAGTGCTTCTTTAGGGGAGTTGAGTAACTCAGAAGAGTGTAGAAACTACTCTTTTTATCGTAGAATCCGGAAGGAAGAAGTGGTTGTAGCTTTGAAGAAGATGAAGCATAGAAAAGCAGTAGGCCCAGACGATATACCAATCGAAGTGTGGAAAGTTTTGGGAGAGACAGGTATAACATGGCTCACTGACCTTTTCAATAGGATTTTGAAAACGAAGAAGATGCCAAATGAGTGGCGAACGAGCACTTTGGTGCCTATCTACAAGAATAAGGGCGATGTACAAAATTGCATGAACTATAGGGGTATTAAGCTAATGAGTCATACAATGAAGCTCTGGGAGAGAGTCATTGAGCATAGATTGAGGCAAGAGACACGGGTTTCGGACAACCAATTCGGGTTCATGCCAGGGCGCTCAACCATGGAGGCAATCTATCTCTTACGAAGATTGATGGAAAGATATAGAGATGGGAAAAAGGATTTACACATGGTCTTTATAGATTTGGAAAAAGCGTATGATAGGGTCCCAAGAGACATTCTTTGGAGGATTTTAGAGAAGAAAGGAGTACGAGTAGCATATATCCAAGCTATACAGGATATGTATGAAGGAGCAAAGACTGCCGTAAGAACTCATGAAGGACAAACCGAAAGCTTTCCCATAACTGTAGGATTACATCAAGGCTCATCCTTAAGTCCTTACCTTTTTGCGTTGGTAATGGATGAGTTAACAGGACATATTCAAGATGATATTCCTTGGTGTATGCTTTTCGCAGACGATATAGTGTTGATAGATGAAACTCAGGAAGGGGTAAATGCAAAGCTTAACCTTTGGAGAGAAGTGTTGGAATCTAAAGGTCTTCGCCTAAGCCGATCAAAGACAGAATATATGGAGTGCAAGTTCAGTGCAAATGGAGGCCAAAACGAGTTAGGGGTGAGGATCGGAGATCAAGAAATACCAAAGAGCGACCGTTTTCGTTACCTAGGATCTATCTTGCAAAAGAACGGAGAATTAGATGGAGATCTCAACCATAGAATACAAGCTGGATGGATGAAGTGGAAGAGTGCATCCGGCGTGTTGTGTGACCGCCGTATGCCACTGAAGCTCAAGGGAAAATTTTTATAGGACGGCAATAAGGCCGGCGATGCTGTATGGCACAGAATGTTGGGCGGTGAAGCATCAACACGTACACAAAATGGGTGTAGCGGAGATGAGGATGCTTCGTTGGATGTGTGGGCACACGAGAAAGGATAAGATTAGGAATGAGGATATCCGGGGTAAAGTAGGAGTAGCCGAAATTGAAGGAAAGATGAGAGAAAATCGGTTACGGTGGTTTGGACATGTGCAAAGAAGGCCTACTGACGCTCCGATTAGAAGATGCGACTATGGGACAGAGGTTCAGGGCCGAAGGGGTAGAGGAAGACCTAGGAAAACTTTGGAAGAGACCCTAAGAAAAGACTTAGAGTACTTGGATCTAACGGAGGACATGACACAGGACAGAACACAATGGCGTTCTAAGATTCATATAGCCGATCCCACTCAGTGACTTGGATTTTCCAAGTCTCCAACCGAGAAGTTTTCCTCACTCGGAAAATTAAGGGAACACTACCTCAACCTACATGCTCCACTCACAAAGCTTCAACATACAAGCTTCAACAAAAGAAAATTCAAAGAACTTAGCGAAGAAGGCTTTGGTGTATTTAACACAATACGTTGAAATGAAGGAAAGCTTATTTATTGATATCCCCGATAAGTTACAAATATGTACATATACTTGAGTCAAAATAAACAAACAAGAGGGAGCCTTCACAAAGGTTGCTTAGGAGAAGTCTCAGCAGTCGGTAGAGCCCCAGAAAGAGAAGGCACCGGAGGGGGATCATTCGGAGCCTCAGTACTGGACAGAACCCTAGAAGGAGGAGGCATCAGAGGTTGATCATTTGGAGCTTCATTACGCGGTACAGCCCCAGAAGACGAAGGCAATAAATGCCTTTGGAACAAACCCACAAATCTCTGATGATCAAGTAAAACCTGACCATCAGATTCCTTCATCTGGTCAAGCTTCCTCTTCATGTTTGTAGCATAGTCATGTGCGAGCCGGTGCAACTGTTTATTCTCATGCTTGAGCCCTCTAATCTCCTGTTTGAGACTCATCACTTCAGCCGCCAATGATTCAACTTGGCGGGTTCGAGCAAATAGGCGTTGGGCCATATTAGACACAGAACCTGCACACTGAACACTGAGAGCCAGAGAATCCTTAACAGCCAACTCATCAGACCGTTTGGAAAGTAGTCTGTTATCTTTGGGAGTGAGAAGGTTCCTGGCCACTACCGCAGCGGTCATATCATTCTTCATCACGGAATCCCCAACGGTAGAGGACCAGTAGGGGAGACGAAGGATGGGCGCCATATGTTGTCTGGAGAAGGCGGGGCTGCCTCTTCAACAAGGTTCAAGTCAAAACGACGGTCGGAGGGGCCAGACATTTTCAAAGGTGTTGAAGAGAGAAGAGGTCGGACAAATCAAGATCTTAGAAGTGCAAGAATGGAGCTTCTACTGGTGGATATTCAAGTGTGCTTTGGAACTTAATGTCAGCCCCTATAAAAATCTGCACTCGACGAAGCTTCAGAAATCGAAGAGGCGCCTGCTCAGAAATCGAAGAGGCGTTTGCTTTCTCAAAAGCTGGGCTGCTCAGAGACCACGAGGGTCGATCTCAGAAATCGAAGAGGCGTTTGCTTTCTCAAAAGCTGGGCTGCTCAAAGACCACGAAGGCCGATCTCAGAAATCGAAGAGGCTTGCTTTCTCAAAAGCTGGGCTGCTCAGAGACCACGAGGGCCGATCTCAGAAATCGAAGAGGCACCTACTTTTCCAGCCTTGTCAGCACCTGTCACACGCACACTCAGCTTTGCGGAAATTATGGGCATTCTGTCGAAGATTTCTGGCGAAGTAGAAAGCACATGAATCGTTACTGTTCAATCACCCACTTCCCACACGCAACAGTAGCTCATGGGTACCACAGATAACTTTGCCAAAGTTCTCTGACAAAGTTGAGACACGTGAAGCTTGCAGCTCCCACTACATCGCTCTGACCAAGAAGGGTAAAAGAATAGCAAAGAAACAACACTAACAAAGTTTAGACACATAAATTTTGAAGGTCTAGCTACCATATTATTACCCACAAGGGTAAAGGAACAGTACCACTGCTGGATAATTGGAAAGTCCCGGTGTGTCAACCTCTGTGCTTCGTGGCAAGGTAGACTAGCAAACATGCCCAACCTTTACTCACATTCGAGAAAACACTCCCAACAAGATTGCTTGCTCCAAAATCGAAGAGGCACCGCCTCCGAATCTCGAGAGCCAGACTCCCAACATGATTACTTTCTCAAAAATCGAAGAGAGGGTAAAGGAACAGTACCACTGCTGGATAATTGGAAAGTCCCTGTGTGTCAACCTCTGTGCTTCGTGGCAAGGTAGACTAGCAAACATGCCCAACCTTTACTCACATTCGAGAAAAACACTCCCAACAAGATTGCTTGCTCCAAAATCGAAGAGGCACCGCCCTCCGAATCTCGAGAGCCAGACTCCTAACATGATTACTTTCTAAAAAATCGAAGAGAGGGTAAAGGAACAGTACCACTGCTGGATAATTGGAAAGTCTCTGTGTGTCAACCTCTGTGCTTCGTGGCAAGGTAGATAGACTAGCAAACATGCCCAACCTTTACTCACATTCGAAAAACACTCCCAACAAGATTGCTTGCTCCAAAATCGAAGAGGCACCGCCCTCCGAATCTCGAGAGCCAGACTCCCAACATGATTACTTTCTCAAAAATCGAAGACATCGCTCTCCAAATCTCAAGAGTCAGACCCCCAGCAGGATTGCTTTCTCAAAAATCGAAGAGGCATCGTTCTCCGAATCTCGAGAGCCAGATCCCCGACAGGATTGCTTGTTCGAAAACCGAAGAGGCACCACTTTCCCAACTTCAAGAGCTGGATCTCCTTGGATAAAGCTTGTCTGTAATCTTCACACGCAACATCAGCTTTCCAGATACCACAGACCACTTTTTCAAAGTGCTCTGACAGAGTTAAAACATTGTGAAGCTGGCAGCTCCCACTACCGTGCTATGACCAAGCAGGGTAAAGGAATAGCATTTATTACTTGATGTTAGGGAGACTCCTATATATGTCGACCTCCATCCCCAACGGACAGGCAGACCTGCAAAAATGCTCAACCCTTCCTCTTATCTGAGAGGGCACTCCCAACGAAGCCTTTCGAAATATTCAGCTTTCTTTCCCCCCGATAATACCTCTGTAAACAAGCTATACTAGAGCAAGAATATCTCATATCATCAGGGTTAAAAGCAAGAGTATCCCATATCATGCTTTTTCCCTGTCTTTTCCTTTGGCCTTGTTCTTACCTGCAAGACAAGGAGAAAAAGAGAGCAATCAGTCAGCACTTGGAATCAAGCTTCCAGCCAGGAACTGACTGCCTGGAACCCCTTACCTGATTACTTACCTGGCATTGCTCTCGAGTACTCATCTTCAACATCTTATGCTTCCAGGGAAGATACCGCATCTGCCTGAGGAACAGATAGGGCAAGTGAGAAGGATACAAGGAAGCATGTGGAGACAAGCGTAACAGCACACGTGCCGATACATCCATTACTCTGTGTCAAAAGCAAAAGTATCCCATATCAGCAGGGTCGAACGTACTCTAGATTTGATGGACTTGTTTTGACCCTCAAATTCTTCAGTCGGCCTTATACTCTGGAGGAAACCAGAAAACCCTCCAGCCCAGTTCAAGAATAAGCCTGTGGAAAGTTACTTCTTCAAAAGCAAAAGTATCCCATATCATCTCTTCTCTCATTTTTCTTCTCTTTTATCCTTCATGCTGCTGCCTGCAAGATAGGGAGAATGTGAACAATCAGCCGGAGCTTCTGATTGCTTACCTTGTCTGTCACCTCTTTCAGCAGATCCCCTAGCTCGGCGACTTGGGGGACTCCTACTACACATGGTTTGTATCGCGCTTGACCAAACCTGAAACTACAAGTAAGCTTCAAGTGACATTGATACATTACCTTATGCATCTCCACCAGTTACAGATACCACCCTGGATGGAGGAAGAGTACTTCCAGAGAAGATGCCACATCTACCTATGAGACAGATAAGGAAAGTCAAGACGATACCACACTCCGGTACTTAGAAGTTTCGTGGTTTACGAGATCATTCTCCCACAATATTTCCTAATGTCATTTGTACTAAATCATTCACTTGTACTCACTAAATGAGAGCTTGAACCTATGTACTTGTGTAAACCCTTCACAATTAATGAGAACTCCTCTATTCCGTGGACGTAGCCAATCTGGGTGAACCACGTACATCTTGTGTTTGCTTTCCTATCTCTATCCATTTATATACTTATCCTCACTAATGACCGGAGCAATCTAGCGAAGATCACAAAAAGTGACCGTTTTCGCTACCTAGGATCTATCTTGCAAGAGAACGGAGAATTAGATGGAGATCTCAACCATAGAATACAAGCTGGATGGATGAAGTGTAAGAGTGCATCCGGCGTATTGTGTGACCGTCGTAGGCCACTGAAGCTCAAGGGAAAATTTTATTTTATAGGACGGCAATAAGGCCAGCGATGTTGTATGGCACAGAATGTTGGGCGGTGAAGCATCAACACGTACACAAAATGGGTGTAGCGGAGATGAGGATGCTTCGTGGGATGTATGGGCACACGAGAAAGGATAAGATTGGGAATGAGGATATCCGAGGTAAAGTAGGAGTAGCCAAAATTGAAGGAAATATGAGAGAAAATCAGTTCCGGTGGTTTGGACATGTGCAAAGAAGACTTACTGACGCTCCGGTTCGAAAATGTGACTACGGGACAGAGGTTCAGGGCCGAAGGGGTAGAGGAAGACCTAGGAAAACTTTGGAAGAGACCCTAAGATAAGACTTGAGTACTTGGATCTAACGGAGGACATGACACAAAACCGAGCGCAATGGCGTTCTAGGATTCATATAGCCGACCCCACTTAGTGGGAAAAGGCTTTGTTGTTGTTGTTGTTGTTGTTGTTGTTGTTTTTTCTTCACTGAAAAAATCCCCAATTTGGTTGTTTTTTTTTTTTTTTTTTTGAAAAGAGTAACGGCGTCTAAGGATGATTTGGAGCCAAAAAAAAAATCCTTAATTTTCTCTGCTTCTTGAGATAGACGTGGCTTCCTTGATTATTTTCACCGAGGTTTCTCGCTTCAAATTGGTATCTTCTATAGCTCCGTTCGAATTCGTATAATAAAGTAGTGAATTATTTGTTGTTTGTAGGTTTTTTCTAATGGATTTTTTTTTGTGGGATTTATTTGAATATTTTGGGTTTGTTGGGTATTGCTGCCCTGACCTTGCCCATGAGTGGTCATGTAATGAATTAAAACTTTTTAAATTTTTGGGTTTTCCTGTAATGAATTAAAGATTTGATAAAGACATTATTTATTCCGTGGAATTCCTTTTAAACATTAGAATTTGTTTTGTCTCACATTTTATGATTTGGGTGTTGAGCAGCAATGCTTTGATGATAATCTCTTTATAAAAAGGAGCCATTTTTTATGATGAGAACAGAAGAGTTGCCACAATGCTCGATGTCACCAACCCCAGGATTGGAACTGCTTCAACCTGAAAAAAGGTTAATTATTTTATAATATAAGTTCCAATTTCTTAGTAGCTTGGCTTAATAGTTAACAGTAAATTCCAAGTGAATTTATGTTGTTTATAGAAAGCATATGAGCTTTCATCATGAAAGTTTCATGTGTATCATTCCTTCAATACCTCTATATGGTTACAAATGATTGAAGATAATATATTTATTTCAGTTGAAGTTTACTTTTATTTTTTAAAGCAACAATCTGCAGCACATTTCTTTGTTAAAAATATGGAACTGATCCTAGACGAGAAGAAGCGTTGATACGCAATAATTTAGTTCCTAAGAAAGTAGCGTTGATTTTACTCTTAATGTATGTTCAATTTATAACCTAATCTTAATTTGTCTTCAATTTCTTTTAGAAATAAGAATTTCAATTTCAATTTTATTTTGAGAATTCATATACTTACCTTTTTTTACAGATACCTGAAGCTTATGATAAGCCTTCCTCTTTAGAATGAAGCAACGAAGAAAATATCATGTACGGGTATTGTGTTTTATCTTTTTACCATTACCAATAGGCAGGTTTAGTACTGAGGTAAAAGTTCCAGCCCTTCTCACATAGTAATATGTATTTGATCATTTATTTCTAAATACTACTGCCTTATCTTAAAGTGCCAATTGCTGAAATATAGGAATCCAATCTATTTTTAAAATTATTGAGAAGGATGCTATAAGACAATTTGGTTCTTCAGTCCACCATCTTCTAGGATATTATACCACATATATGCCCTTCTCCATTACAACATTGTACATCAATGTCTTCTCTATTTTAACATTCCTTACATGTTGCTCATTTATATGTTTTTGCTCTCAGACTTCACATATTCCTCATCCGCCTTTTAATACTCTATATGTTGCATTGTTTGCACATGATCCCTTTATGTATGGTTTTTTCATGAAATTAACCACAACAGATGATAATAGAGGGAAAATATATATATATATCGTTTGCACCTTCAGGATCACAAATGAACTCTATCTCAGTTTTACTTATATGTCCCCCTTCTGTTTCCTTATGTGAACGCACTAACAGCTCATTTTTTTCAAAATTTGTAGAAACTAGCTGAAATCATAAACATCAACATCATGAAGATGAAGATAGAGCGGGAAACAGTGAAATAAGAAAATCTAGATTAAGTAACGTGTTCATAGTCTATGTAAATATTTCGAATAATGAGCAGTTTAATGCTGTTGATCTTTTATCACTGTAATATGTTGCTAATTTACCTTCTCAAACAACATACATGTAAACATTGTTGTATAAAACTTATTTATATGTTAATAGTATTGTTTTAAATGTTGTTCCTAAAACCCGCAGCAAAGCACGGGCGTTCATGCTTGTTACTTCTGTAATTGGTCAGAATTTATAGGAGTTACTAAAATTACCTAATTACCAGTTTCTGTTTTACTGTAGTTGGTAATGATTTGTGAGCAGATTGTACATTGAAAATATGGGTAATGTGTGAATTGAATTCCGATGGTTAAAATAATACGACAAACTGGTAAAAAACCATCACTGAAAAAAGATAAAGCATCACAATCGTAGAGTTTTGCCGAATGAAGAATTAGAACCGCAACGTGGGATTCAACCACCCTCCACGTTCTGTAAACTACCGACCATATTGACAAAGACTTTTCCTCTACATCAACTGATTCTTATTGTAGGTAACTTTCAAACTTGATTCTCAATTTTCTATGTATTCCTTCCAGCGTTTGTTCAAACTTTCAAACTTGACTCTACTCAGCGTGATCAACAACTACAACTTCTTGAAACAGCCTTTCACTCGCCATAAACGACAAGTGTGGCTTCTTTAGCAATATGTTTATTAGTCTCTTTTCAAATCAAATTCATTGCCATTAATTAACTGTTTCTCATATATCATTCATTTCTGATCATATTTTCAATTTCCGTTCTCTTCCCATTTATACATCTTTTTCAATTGTGTATAAATTATTTGCTTTGATGAAGCATAATTAGATTTGCATTCATATTCAATTCTAATTAACTGATGATGTGTTTCTGAATGCAGGGAAGAGGAATTTTGGAATTTAGTTTTGCGTGGGTAAAGTGTGGGCTTCGAGAGCGAGCCAAAATTATCTAGTGATTCGATAAAATCGAAGAGAGATTTTCCAGGGTGAACCATAGCCTGTACCTGACTATTGAGCCGTACAGTTTTCGATTTCTAAGGTTTCGGATATCCACACAATCTATTGGGACCTGTCTGGATATCCCCATGGCCATGTGAGTTGCGATTCTTCTTCTTAATAAACAACTTAGTTTTTGCATTTTTTGTTTGAATTCAAAGTTTTTTATATACAAATTTGAAGCTTTTCTTCAAGTTTATTCACTATATAGCGTAATTCTTTAGTTATTAGAGATTCCAAAATTTTAAAATCCTCTCAAAGTAGTAGGGATTTGGAAATGAACTCTGCTACAGAAGGCGGCTTGCATTGAAATTACCATAATAACAGTGTTGGGTTGGGAATTTTTTACTAGTTTTTTGTTTAATATGTTTTGAATCTTATCTTGCAACCTGTCGTTTTTCTTCATGGGGTTCAGGAGGAGGAACTTCACCAAGTATTCAAGGTAATCAAGGATTCTTCAATCCTGAGTTTTACCGATCATTTTGTTTGATCAGGTTGCTACTTTACCCTTTATGATAAGTTATTAGATGCATTTTAGTGTGTCCTACTGTTTGGGCTCAAAATATCGGTTTGGGCCGAGTTTAGAGTTGTTCTCGGCCTAGAGGCCGTACTTAGGAATCGCTGGGGATCATCCGGTTTATAGGCCACAGAGCCAAGGTCGGTCGTGTCCTATTAGGAATCCATGGGTAGTTGAATCTTGATACGAGAAGAAGTTTCGACAAGATAAGGATGTTGAAGTTTGGGATTGAATGCAGCCTGATAAGGGGGTTGAGTTCAAAATCCTAGTAGGAGTAGGACTGGCCGAGATAAGGTTGGATCGGGGGAAGAAGTTCTAATCTGAGTATGATTGTGATTCGATTGGAAGCAGGTTGACTATTATAAATAGAGGGAGGAGGACATCATTAGAGCCCTCCCCAATTCCACACACAAACTGCCCTGCGTAAATCTTCGCTCTACTCGAAACCTCTCAACAACCTTGAGATTTTTATTTTCTTTTTTGCCGACACATCTTTAGTTTGGATAAACAACACTGTGAAGGCAACCGACGTGCATCTTCAGTTTGGATAAACAGCACTGTTGCTGTAGAATCAGCCGATCACGAAGCACTTTCAATTTGGATAAACAGCACTGCGTCAAAGCTGACTGGTTATCTATCCAAGTTTCGGTAGAGAAGGATTTTTGGATCCTTATTGGTAGAGGTCATCTCGTTAGCCTTCTCGGCAAAGTGAGGTGTTACAGTTTACTAGGGTTTAGCACGTTGAACGCCGAGTTGTTTTATGATTGGATATTCACATGTAGGCTTTAGAGTTCCGCATTCTGATGGCCGAACCACGTTTACCATCAAAACATATATCTGTTTTGAGTATATGTGTCCTTATACTCTGGTTTCGATTCGGCGTGCTTATACTCTTATGAATATAATCACTGTGACGGAATCCGACGCTGACGATTTGTGAACTTCGCAGAACTAGTAGCCTTGTCTTCAGGCTCTAGAACCCGGAGGTCGAGACGTGTTCTTTCCTCGGTCGCAATCGTGAGATTCAGAAGTCAGCAGCGCACCCAACGCGATATCAACAAATTTTACTCACCGGCCGAGCTCGGTCGTCGAGTTGGCACGCCTCGCACACAAACGAATGACGTAGTTAGCTTATTAATTACTCGGCATGTGCACCACGTAGGCTTGGTAGTTTTTAGGGTCAACATTTTGGCACGTCCAGTGGGACCCAGTGCTAAAACTACGAAGTTCATGACCATCGAGACACGATAAGTCAAAAAGAAAACAACCATGGGAAAATCAGCGACCGATCTGCCAGTTTAGAGTTCTGGACAAGAAGTGTCACATGCATGAAATTCTCTCGTTGCTGTGACCCCTGAGGCTGCAAGTGTGACACACCGAGAAAATGAAGTTTGCCTCGGTACCCAACCTCGAAACATAGAAGTAACCAATCGAACCACAGGCGTTTTCATTGAAGGAATAATGGAAGACTGCGACGAAGACGGTGGTAAAGGCTCTGAGCCTCCAACTAGGTTGTTTCTTCGAAGGCAACTTGATGAGCAATCTTGACAAGTTGAACAGACAGTTGTTCAAAAAATGAACAATTTGCTCGAGGTAATACGAAGTAATGGTGAGACCACACCAAATTGCTCGAATTATTAATTAGCAAAGTATTCAAATGAGGACTTGTTGATCAGGCTGGGCAACTTCCACTTAAAAGTAATCCGTTACAGGCCGAAGTAGTGTCTACTCGGCCCAAAACGATTGACTTAGAAAAAACGGGAGGATCAAGTAGTAGGTCAGATGGATCCAACCAGAGAATGGAAGCAACATCCGTCGATATGACCTAGGTCCAACAGATAATCGATTCGGCCATTAAAAAGGGGTCGAAATTCCCGAAATTCATCCATCCATATCCAACTTATGTGGAAAAGTTTAAATATCCTAAAGGTTTCAAGATTCCATATTTTAGCCTTTTTGTTGGAGAGTCGTCCTTATCCTCGTTAGAATATGTGGCCCGTTTCACTGCGCAATGCGGAGATGTCAATAATGATTTCCATAAACTACGGTTGTTCAACCTTTTGTTAACAGGCTTAGTATTCGCATGTTATATCAACCTCCCACCTAATTCTTCCAAAGCTGGGAGGAGTTGGTCGAGAAGTTTCACGAACAGTTCTATCGAACGGGGATGAAAATGTCAGTTTCTTCATTGGCTAGGATGGCTCAAGCATCTGATGAGTCACCAATGGACTATCTTACAAGGTTTAAATCGGCCAAGAATTGGTGCCAAGTACCTCTTCCCGAAGTCGAATTTGTTAAGCTTGCTCTGAATAAGCTCGACGTGGAGTACAAAAAGAAATTCCTGGGGGCAAACTTTCAGGATATGTATGAATTAACCCAACATGTCGAGCAATATGATTATTTGCTCCGAGAAGAAAAGATCTCAAAGTCCCTATCCCGAGGAACGATTTACAAAACTCTTACGATCAACTACGCATCAGCCGAAGGCGAAGATTCCCAATACGTCAGTGTGGACGCGACCGAGACAGTAATAGATAAACCATATGTTTGCAAGGCATTGACTCAAATTAATTCCAGGGATGCCAAAACTCGCTCAACCACTGAAGAGATGGCGAAACCATCGAAAGTTTACACTTTTGATATCACAAAGGCCGAGGTAATTTTTGACCAATTATTGTTAGCAAAGATTATCAAACTTTGGCTAGGACATAACATTCCCAAGGCCGAAGAGCATAAGGGGAAGACGTATTGCAAGTACCATAACTCGACAAAGAATACCACAAACAACTGTGTCATATTCCGTGATGATATTCAAAGTTGGATTGACAAGGGCAAGCTAAAGTTTCCCAAAAAACGAATGGTAGTCGACGTTGATCCATTCCCTTCGACAACAATTGGCATGGTAGATGCCCATTTACCCAAGAGCAAAGGGAAATGGAAGGCCGAGTTTGTCCCAGTACAACATGTCCTAAAGAAAAATTCCCGACCGCGACTCAAGATTGACCTATTTTCCAATGAGCCACCCATTAAGTTTTCGGGACCAGTTGTGGGCAAATCTATGTCAGATTCCAGTGCAAAAGGCATTGACGAGTCGATGGTTTTGTGCAGCAATTGTAGGGCATGCGTCGTATTAACCGAACCAAAACAAAGACCGACACCACGACAACTATCCAAGTCCGTGACAACACCGCCGAAAGAACTTAGCGAAGGCCAGTGCCAGAAAGTGTTCGATAAGTTCGGCCCTCAGGAACAGATAGATGTCCCTACCTTGGCCAGACGACATTTTGATTTCGACGCGCCGTTTTATGACGAGGATTATTAATCGCGTAATTCTAGCAGGTCGAGTTCATCGGTGAATCAAAAATCCTTCAAGTCGCTTGTGCCACGCGACCAACGTTGGTACAAGTACAACTCTACTACTGGTATATATACTGCACTATCCAAATCTTAAAAACGCAGACGCCAGCAGATAGATTGCATGGCTCGACGATAGGCAGCACATGTTATTTTGACCACTAAATGGCAGCCGAATTACTTCAAGAGAAGAAGGCAGTTGATCGCAATTTTGAAACCACCATTGAAGAGTCTGAGAAACGCATCAAACTCCTTCTTCGGCCTAGAGAGATGAAAGCTCATTTTGAGTGTTTCAAAAAA